ATACACCGCCGCGCCACGCGCGCGTACACCTCACTGCCTAAACAATATCGCATGGCATAGCTCAGTGCACTGGCGGCGGAACCGAGGGGGGGGGGGGGGTGAGGGCAGAGGGGGCAGTTGCCCCCCCCCCCCACTTTTGAATAGGTAGCTATTTTGCCCCCCCCCCCCACTTTTTACCAGGAGCGATTTTTTAAAAACCAGGTTAATTAAAATGATGCAAGAGGTAAAAAAAGATTTTTGAACACGTGTCTTATTTATAGGGCCCTATTAATAGTATTATGTACTACAATGTATCTTTTGCTCAGAATATATTGGTTAAAGTGGTCAGAAATTGCCTCAGATCGCACCATAGAGCATCTAGAATCCAAAAAAAAGGGCTTCGCGCTTCACGCTCGCATCAGTTCTGATCAAGGTATGTTCCCCCACTTTTGAAAAGCGAATGACACCCCTGGTTGGGGTTGAAATTTGACAATAGGCCTTATACCGAAGTGAGTATGGCGACACAAAATTAGAAAAATGATTCAAAAAATAGGGATATACCGTAATTTTCGGAATATAAGCCGCGCGGTGTATAAGCCGCAGCACGCAAAAATCTGCAAATTAAGATCTGAAGTCGGCGTATATAAGCCGCCTCCAAAAATTCTAGTCAAAAAGCTCTGAACCAGTTCCAGTTACACTACAGAAGCTATAAAAAGGGCCACAAAATTTATATCAAATCATTTTCAATCGATACTCTTACAAACAAATATGGAAATTGATGATTAGAAATAAACACCGGGAAGTGCTGCCGGCTGCCCCGTCCCGGTCCCCGGCCTTAAAAGTTAGTGCATGGCCGGCCAGGCAGCCTAGCTGCGCCGCGCCGTTGAATGACAACATTTTCCCGCAGTACGTGAGAGAGTATGCAACCCACCGTGTGTTGTCTGACTGGAGCGCTACAAATCTTGCTTTTGTGGCAACAGATGCTGACTTGTTTTGTCTTAAGAATAAACAGGTCCGTTTTTATCTCAAAACTTTTCAAATTTTTGTTAATACTAGCGAATAGTAACGTAAAAAATTCAAGTTTCGATCGTAACTTTCTTCAAAAATAGTCAAAAACAAAGACCCTTTAGCGCCGTAGGAAACGATGCTGACATTTTTATGGACGAATCCATTAATTTTGTAAGGGGTGATTTAGTCCCTGTTTTGAGTTTTACATCGTTTCTTGAATTCGTTTCAAGAAAAAAATATATACTGTGACGTTAAACAACTTATTATCTAATAAAGAAATGTTTCGAACACCATAAAAAAGTATTAGTCGTCTTTTTTCGTGTTTTTTAAATGCAGAAATATTGGTAAATATTGTTCCCAAGAAAGTACACCCCTTCATTACCACAAATGGTGTGGTCCGCTGGGGGAAAGCATGCAGCTAGCTGCACACCACCCATGGTATCACTTTTTACCGCTCGGTACCTTGGTTTCGGTTTGTTAATGACTTTTTAATTGATAATTAATTTCAGCAACACCTCTCTTCTTATACCAGTACATTAACTACACATGTGAATCTTATTTTTATTTTTCAAGGCTCAGCGTATAAGCCGCCCTGTGTATAAGTCGCAGTAAACATACGTAGGTCACACGTTTCGGACCAACTTCACACTTTTCCCATTTGCTTTGATTTTGCTCCGGAAACAGTAACTGGACCTTGCCCCCCCCCCCCCCACACTTTCAAAAGTGTTCCGCCGCCGATGGCTCAGTGCCACTGTGGAGATATGGTTTGTGCGCAGGTAGCACTAGAAACCATGGGCCCAGCCCCAATCAACTACAATGCACCCGCAAGTGTATGGCTAAACTGTCCAACAGTTCGCCCGCGCGTAGCATATAGCGCCAAACATTATAGCAATACACACCACAGCGAGAGCACACTCAACTCATGTTTGCATAGCTCGCTGCCACTTGCCAGATACTACATGGACTGTCATTGCTTTTCTTTTCATTCATTATTTGTATAATTTCGTTCCCTTAAATAGGTTATTTTTACAGCAATTTAGGGCATTTTTCTTTTGTGGTTTGGAAATGTGGTTTGGAGAATTTTGTTTCTCAAAGGAAAACAAGTATCGATGAATGTAATATCGCTTCAATTGTGCATAATAGTGGTAAAGATCTGGCGATTTTTCGTTTAAACGGAAGGGCACAATTTTGAAAGAGAGAGACCTAAAATTAGAGATAATCTTGGAAGATAAGAAGGGTATAATACAATTTTAAAAGGTTACGTATTGTAAGGTTGTGCGTTTACATTTTTTTTATGGATATGACCTTATATCAGGAGTGTGGTTTCGTTTTGGAATATACAGAGGTGAAGGGATAACTATAGTGTCGAAAATGTGTAGGTACACGTTGACCTTTGGGCTATTTTTGCCCTCCTGGTTGCTACTTCGGGGTAACCTTATGACCCGAAATCACTTTGTTCGGCGATTATGATGCTCATGGACTGTTTGTCTTTAAATTGTATACAAACAGCTAGAAAACAGAACCAAAACCGAAAGAATTGTAGGGGTGGGGCGTTGGGTACGAGAAATGTGTCAGTGTTTCTGGGCGCTCTCTGTTGGTAAAATAACGTCGGTACAGATGATGACGTTAACTTGATTACGAGACTTTGCTTAACAGACGGAAAGAAATACAAAGTGGGTAGTTTGTTCACTTTTCATGCATTTTATTTTATGGGCGGGGGACAATCAAACTTGAACTAACAGCAGGTCGTTTCGTTCATCTCATCTTTACGCAAAGCACATCCGCCGATGAAATACAAATTAAGCTAGAAATGTGTTTGTGTACGAAAACAAGCTGTTTCGTCTGTTTTTGAAATGGCTCTGTGAGATGTGATGACTCATCATAATATTTCATCATGAATTCACGGTGTCATTATAAATGTCATATACATGAATAATACACAACACTATACACAAAGTACAACTGAATCAGACCTTTACTTCTCGCGAGACCTCAGCAAATTGCGCCTTAAATGTGAGGTCACATGACACGTCATCACGACTTAAATTTACATTTATAACACGTTCCTGTCTGTAATGATTCAACCCAATTGGATTTGTCTTCAGGAGATGTCTTCAGGAGCTATAGGGCTTTCAAAAATGCACCTTTAATGTGACGCAGCTTGACACCTGATGACACCATGGTGACAAGAATCTTTGGGGACCATCTGCGGGTGTCGGTCTATCTGTATACTGAGTCTGAAGTCGAAATTCCATCTACAATCGCGATGTTTAATGATGACCTGGATGTTCAATACTAACATATGAGGTTATCCGAGAACTTGGCACAGGAGCTGTCGTTGCCAAGAAATTCGAGAAAAAATTTGAGACCCGATGAAGATTTTGGGTTCAGCGGAATTTCTGAAAAGTCACGCACGGTCGACTGAATCCTTTACATGCCGAACAATAGGAGTCCTCCGGGGTACCTGTTGAATCGTATGCGCATGCGCTTAAAAATAACAATGATTCATGTTTGTAACCTTATAAATAATTCAACCAAGGCCTCATAAAATGTTAAAAAAAGGTCTCGCGGCTTCGCCAATCTTTCGTGCCGAGTTCGCCCAGGCTCCGCTCTGCTTCGTGGCTTCGCAGCTTCACCAAAGCCAAGATAGCCAGTATGGCGCAAGGTTCCACTGTTTAGTAAACGCTCTAAGCCATTTGACGGCATTTCAACAAATGACGCGGTAAATGTCAACATCCCTAGATATAGATAATGTTTTCAAGATCCCTATAGGATGTTTCAGGAGGAAACTAACCAAGTACCTACTAAATGGGTCGTTCATCGCGTCATCTATTCATGGTGCACTTGTCGGACAGCATGTACAATAAAGTAACATGGGAGTCACGAGGAGGGGGACCAAGGGAATTTTCTTCTTTCCCTTGACAAAAATAAAATAAAGAAAGAAACACAAAATGAAGAGAAAACAATATACAATATACATATTTCCTTGCTGACGAAATAGTGGTCACTTTTACAGACAATCAAATGTGCACTGGCCGCAAATCCATTCTGCTTTCTAATCCTATCGCAATGCACATCTGCTGATCCGATTCGAGTTATGATTTGATCATGGAACAAATCAAGCAAATACTAAACAAGCAAGACCAAATACATGGTTTATTTATAGGCATTTTTTATTTCACAAATAGGAACATAACCGCTGAGCAAAAACAGCAGTTGAATAATAAATGTACAATATTGGTGTATCCCTCAATGAGATCAAGATGGCTGCCTCTTAGCTTCTCTTGACGATAACTCGTCGATATTCACACGGAACTACGAATATTTGGGAAAATTCTCTTTTATTCTTTTCTTTTCTTAAGATTCCTGCTTTCACAAAAGCTAACCTCCACTGTATTTGACCTCTAAAAGTTTGTAATTTTGGAATGCTGATAAACCTGTACATCCACAGCAATAAGGCATCACATTGATACAATTTTATTACAATATATTGGCAATAAAATGTTACTTTGCCGTAACAATACACTATACATCTAACACCAAAATATACACCTAAATTATTGTACAATGATTTAATATCGTGACTTAAATTGTCTTATATTTACAGCATAATACCACAGTGAATAACATCTAGAAGCAAAAGCCCCATCATACTCGGCACAAAAGCGAACGCGAACGCGAGTTTGTGTTGTCACGGCAATTTGCCGCGCTGTGAGTTGGCAAAAGAAAAACCACACTTTTCAACTCAGGCGAATTTATCGGCGAATGCTTCCTGACGTCAGATGCGCTTCGCAATCGAATTCGAGTGTAGTATGAACCGGCCCTTATTCAAACAGTTTGATTACTAAAATATTTCAATTATCGAGAGGTTCCCACAATTCACTTTGATTTTGCGAGTTTATTGTTTTGGTCAATTATGTATTGCGTTTTTAACAGTTCATTTTTCTATTCTTTTTTTTATTCTGTATTTCGAACAATGTATGAACATAATACATTGTATTGAAGATTTAAGATGGCAGCACAGCTTAATATATATTTTGTTTTTACTGTACAACAAAGTACTACAATTATAGTTTAGACGTTTCTACTTAAAGCGAAAATACTATGAAAAAAAGGAAAAAGAAAACCGCTATAACTTTTCAAGAGATACACAAGGCCAAGTTTTCACACGTACCGCGCTTTCACTTTTCTCAAGATACAAATTCACGCAAGGGCCCTTATAGTGATTATTCCAAATCCTCAGTTTGTTTTTGCTTTCTGAAAAATATTCCTCTTACCAAATATACTAATTTTTCTAATAATCAATATTCAATATAGTTGTCGAATTTATTTTGCATTGAATGAAATGTCAGCGCTGTCGAACACAATAACCTGAATGCTTCAGCTGAATTAATCACGGCGACATCCAAGCAGCTCCAATCGCAGAGCTACAAACATGTTCCATTCAATAGGCTCAATGCGGACTACCGTGGCGACCACACTCTCAGCAAACAGGTTAGTGACTGGGGTGTTGTAATCAGTGTTACCGATGAACACCTGAAATGAATCCCAATGCAATTAACGCACGTTAGCAACAAAAGTAGCCTCCTTGCAGTAACGTCTTAGACCAAGACCATTAAAAGAGCGGGCAATCTCAACAGAGGGAGTCGTCCTTCCAAACAGAATGCCAACAAACCGTAAATATATAAAAAGTAAACTGTGTGTCCTGGGTGGGACTCACTTTTAAGTTCATATTCAGCCATATAAACCTCACTAGACTGGGCTCCATGGGTTATTACTTCAGCTTCAGAGCATTTTACCTTTTTTTTTAATAAAAGCAATTTTCTCATGAATAACCTTTCTATAGGAGAATGTAGCATCAATATTTTCTGTCGTTGCTTCTTTGGTTGCTATAATTAGACATGATTTCAGAATGGATGAATGATTGCATTAGCATGGAACCGAATAACGTCGTACACAATAAAGCTATCAAAATGCAAGAAAAGCCCAAACGAAATTATAATTTAAAGAAAAAGTTACGTGTACAATATTTTTTTTTTTAACTGTCCAACGTATAACAGTTAAATTCAGCTTACAGCAAGACTTAGTCACGATTGATACTCACCTTGATATTTCCGTTTCCATCTGTTACGTGTTCATAGTCAGATGAGGGCTGCTTCTTGTACGCCACCTTGTACTTCTTCACATGCCAATTTTGATTATGGTGGCCTTGTGTGATGACCCCGCTCACCACTGTAGGCTCAACGAGGTCCACCTCGATCCAGGGATTGGCATCGTGCCTGTACACAGAGGGAAGAGAGGATGAGGAACAATGAAATAACAATACTCCGCAAATCCGGTTGTGGAATGGATTTGAAAATTGAACACAATTATTGAAACTTGTTACAGTGTGCAATTCAAATGCGCATCCGGGTTGGGCTTTGGCCGGGGATGATATTTGTTTTATAATGAAAAACAAAACTAAGCAAGAAAAAGATTGTTGAATAAAATAAAACAAAACGGAATGTTATTTTTATATAATGAAAAGGAGAACCAAAAAGGAAAAACAATGCCAAACAAAATAAAACAAAAACAAAACAAAAACAAAACCCCACTGATGCGATTACATGTGGATGTTCATTAATGAAACACACTCAGGAGCGTTTTGTGACATTATAATTATACTGAGTGAATACTAATATTGATGTAAAAGCGCTTTGATATTGGTTAAAAGTGTATGTAAGAACCCGTTATATAAACATATGAGAGTGAAGTGTCAGGTGTTGTATTTCCCTTTGATACATACCTATTGGCTACCCATACTCCGTTATTGTTTAGGCGTGCCTTACTCGCAGGGTAAAAGCTGTAACCACTGGACGCCGTGAAGCGATCATCGTGGATTGTCCCGTCCTCCATACCAAGGGGTTGCGGGCTTGAACACTCCGCTGGTAACAAACGAGTAAAGCAAACGAAACTGATTCTAATTTAAATAATAAAACATGGAAACATTGTGTGAACTATAATTTGGGGTAGAAAACCTGATGACACTTTTCATCTTATAAACCTCAATGATGAGTAACTGAAGATTCACGAATTCACGAACATTTTTATTCCAATGTAATAATGAAAATGCAAAACTTATTTCTCTTGTTTTCTAGTACTGATATGAAAACGCGATTCCATGATGCTTTCCAAACATTATTGTAACCTGGATTATTCTCTGCAGGCTGACAGTCGAAGTAAGCTTGAATTTCGTCGGAATCCTCGCTCATGAAAAGCTCGTTCAGGTAGTGGGGCGCCCCCTGGCGGTATGACGAAGCAGTGATGCGCATTCCGCCGAGGCGTATAGCAGTGCATTCGCACGGATCTTCGTACGGTAAGAACCAACGGGGTGGCATACCAGAATGTGGGTTGTACTCCGATCCGATGAAGCAGACTTGATGACACGAGATCGTCACTATAATGTACGTTTGCATGGAAAAAATACACTAGTATTAGTTTTTTTTTCATAGATCGGAGACAGTAGGAATGCGCTATATTTTATCATAATGAAAAGTTTGGGGCCCAAACGCGCAAAAGATCAATGTGTGTGAGACAGCTCCACAGCTTGCCCATTTGACCTTGCGATTTGCATACCACATGCAACACGCTGGCCACGTGAACTCACACAACCGACCACTGCAAGAAATTTGTTTGGTTGTTTGTATCAAATATTTGAAAGAGAACTTCATCCTCTTTACAAAACCACTACCCCCAGTGCGCTCTGACATCGGGTTCTCGAGATACGTTGAGATAAACAACCCAAGGTCTCTCACAAATGGTCATTTTCTGTTCCGCTCCAAGGCAATTGCCTCATACCCCACATTTCCAAGCCAGACATAGATTGACGTAAAGCCAAAAGAATGAATTTTCATAATCTGCAACCCCCAGATTTGTGCGATCGATCTTTCTGGTAATTTCCCCACGTTAAAGCTTGTGTGTACATTTCCGGTTGAGCAGATGCGCGCTACTTTTCATTAAGTTGGGTAAATTTTAGTAAATACAACAGACTAAAACAAAACCAAAAAAGCACATTTATATTGTATCGCCATGAAGGCTAACGAGAAAGATAAAATTAGCTCCCCACTCATGAAACTAATATTGCCTTCTTACTCTCCAACATACTTTGGCCTCACGCAGAAAACACTACTGAATCACCGAATAGTAATTGTGCCGCACAGGTATTAACACGGCCAAAGATTGAGGGGGTTGACTGACAAATGGGGGCGCTACTCAAGGAGCTCGGCAGTAGACTCCTTTTTTTTTCCATACAACACATTATTCGCTATGGTTGCATAACAATACAAATTAAAAAAAAACACCTCCAAACCATAGATAAGCAAAGGTATAATGTTTCAATTGACAAACAAACAAACAAACACAATTTCAGGGAAACAGGAATTAAAGAACAAATGCAAGGTCACACTTAGTGGGACTCGAACCCATGACCTACGGATGGGGACTATTGTCTGTTCAACTGAAATGTCATCCTTGGTGGGCGTCTCTGTGACCCTCGATAGAAATACTACGCGTTAAAATTCTAGATACGCAGTTATTTTTGTATAATATAAGAAAGACATCCCCGAAAAGGCTTTGTAAATTGCAACTAGAATATCAATTTGTGATAATTGATAAAATCGCCTGATCTGAATGAGTTATACGGCCAAAAATGTACCTCTCAATTCCCTTCCGATAATCTTAGATACATGCAGACTAGTGCCATATTAATACGTACACACAGCCTTAAGTCGACGTATAATCCTACAATTTTGATGATCACTTGATGGAAGTTTTTAATGAAATTTTAAAATATCTGATTTACTTCAAAGATTTGAAGAAAAATATAAACCTGACCATTTATCGTTGGCCCAGTCGGATGCTTATAGCATGGCACCAGTAATCTGCTCAGACAAACTCAGTAAAATCTAGAACCCATCGAAACCTTCACAACATTCTAACATTTCCCATTCTTGTGGAAGTGATGCGAAATAAAACTAGCGGCGCACAGCGAAAGAGACTTAGGGACCGTAATATCGGAAATGAAAGGTCGTAAATGAAATTCTTTCAAGTGATTTTGTTTTTGCAAATTTACTCGTAGAGTACCCACGCAGATAAAATTCAAAAAGTAATTTTTCATGGCGTCGTTACAATTTGAAATCATTTTCCCCAAAAATATAAGATAGAAGGCAAAATTGCAACACAATGAAAAGTACTCACAGATGAGCCGCGAGACCTTTCAGTTTCAGACTCTATATACATATGTCACCGATACACGGCAAGTACCTCCTCAGTAGTGACGTCTGGTGGTAAACCCATTCTTCACTAGATTTGACCCAAAAAATACTTTGGTCTGCCTCGGACGACCAGGTTTGCACAAAACAAAAGCAATCCTTCAAAATATTCTCCAAAATAGCGTTTTGGAGCCTTTGAAAAGAAAACAATGTGAAGGACAGTGTTCAGAAATGCAAGGTTCGTAGACATCACATAATTGTATCAGGCGCGGGCCATATGTGAAATATTTTATTACCCAAACCTGAGAGAATTCACAGATTAAAATTTATAGTCACGTGACCAAGTACAATTACTAGGAATCAAATGTGGCCGCCATTGACGCGAAAAGCGGCTTTTTCCTTGTTCCCCCATTTTTTTTTACAAAACTGTCTTGTTTTCGGGTAGGCTAATTCAAGACTTCTTAATTTAAAAGAAATCAAGAACATATAATATTACCTTATGTATCGTATTGTGCACATATTTAACAAAATCTCGGTTTGCCCCCACAAATAGGTAGACCTATAACGCCCTTTTACGATGACTTTATAGTACCAAAATGTTGACTAAAAACCCAAATTATGAATGTATTTACACATCTGAAGTGACATACCCTCTGTTGGCCAACCAACACAACTGATAATTTCAGGACAATCGGCCGACGTAAAAATTCAACGGAGAATTACCATTGCAACTTGGGGTTTTATGTTGGAAAGTAAATAGAGGGATGCATATTATGTCCCCGATCCTGATCTAGCTAAGCTTGTCTGCTATTGCCAACAAATCAGTCAGGAATTTGAGGACGTACCTCCCCGGATAGATATTAAATCTTACCTGCCATTGCTGACAGCATCACAACCAAAGCTGCTGCTCCGTCCATTGTCCAAGATGCAGTGAATTCCGGGCACAAACGCACTACGATGTATCACGATTAAACCACTGAACAACACTTGGGTAACAGCCTCAACTCGAAAACTTGCCCAAAACTTTGTCTGATTAGTGCAAGGATTGGCAATCCGTTAAATTGTTTGTATTCATCAGATACTCACACACCACAACGATGAGGAATGCGTCTAAAACGGTACCGTGTATGACGCTATGATCCAGAGTCTGTTATGTTGATCGTATATCACCGAGTATACAAACCAAGGCACAGCTCGCCCCAGCAACAACGCAGCCGTGTACCACGGAACAGGCTTACGTCATAGGAAGCCTAGCCAATCATGAACTAGCCTGGAACGTTAAAAAATAAAATGAAACGTGAAATATTGCAATAAAGAAGTTTTATCTTTGATATTAAAGTGATCATATGATATTGACGGGGACGTGAGAAGGCTTTGAAAAGGCGACTAATTAAAACGCATTATGCCCTGTAGCAGCCAACTTGCTCAATTAACGAACCTTCATAATAAACCACTAATGAGTTTTTGGAAAAATGTGAAGCGAGAGCGCAGACATTGTAATTAAGACGTTTTGTCCGTGATATTAACGTGATCGTAGAATAATGATGGGGAAGTTAGAAAACTTTCAAATGGCGACATATTAAAACGAATAATGCCCTGTAGCCAACAAGCGTGCTTCAATTAACGAACCTTCATAATTAACCACAAATGAAAGTTCGGAAAATGTGAAGCGAGAGCGCAGATATTGTAATTAAGAATTTTTGTCCTTGAAATTCATAGTGTTTACATAAATAATAATTCGAGGGCCTCATCAGCAGGCTATCAAAAAGCAACATATTAAAACCAATTTACGATTGATTGAAGTTTTACGTTTTTTCCCGTTTTATGTTACTTTTGGTGTGTTTGGTGCTACCAAGTGTTGTGGTATGGCTTCAAGCTCAGTTTTAGTGTGGAAATGTGTCGTCGTGTTTCTTACTTGTGGTGTATTTCGTAGTGTTTTTACACAACCATGGGATGGAACTGGCAGTCTCTCCAGTGTACGGCCATTGCCTATTGTGTACAGCCGGGATGCTTTGTTAAAGCTCAGGTCACAGGTTATCACACCACCGAATTCCGAAATACCTGAAGACTGTGCCGGCTGTATGAAAAGCCACTACAAAGGTCGCAAGCGGGGAAAAAAGGGAGGCGTACGAGTACGACTTCGACGGCGGAAACATAGCCCACCTTTACCTTCAATCATCACAGGTAACTGTCGATCTTTACGGAATAAACTGGATGAATTGCAAGCCTGTGCAAAATACCGCTATGAATATCGTGAAAGCTGTTTAATGTGTTTCAGTGAAACATGGTACAAAGATACTGATACAAGCAATAATACTGACATCGATGGATTCATTTGTGAAAGAATGGACAGAACAACGGAGTCCGGAAAATCAGCCGGCGGAGGAGTCTGTATTTACGTCAACAAGCGTTGGTGTAATAACCTAACAGTTAGAAATCGATTCTGTTCTCCAGATATTGAGCTGATTACCGTCAGTGTCAGACCGTTTTACCTGCCAAGGGAATTTACACAAATATTCATCACCATGGTGTATATTCCACCTTCAGCAAATACAGATATTGCAGCAGCTAAAATCCACGGGATAGTTCAGCAACTTGAATCACAGTCGCCTGACTCTGTGAACTTGATCCTTGGAGATTTTAACA